GCACAGGTCCTCCTGCTGTAAGAGTCCATCTCCAGCTTTGCTTCTGGACTAAGGCAGAGTAAAGAAGGCTGAAGGGTGAGTCTAAAGTATCAAACCAAATACCTCCACATGTACACTTGACATTGCTACCTATATATGATCTCTGCATTGATGATCTTTTACAAATGCATTTTCTATCTATTCCCTGGTTCCTTCCCATACTGTCTCTACTTATACTCTCAATACATATGTGGTGACTGTGATGTCTCCCAATTTCATCAAATCTCCTATCTGATACAATAATCTATGTGCATTGTATTGCTAATTCCATCTTCTCCAGTCTCAAAAAACCTAAATATAGTCACATTTTCTAGACATTTCATACAGTAGAAGCATCTTAATCCAAAATGTTAAAAGCCCACCAGACCCAATTGCAACCCCACTTCAATGAGTAACATTAATTATCACTAAAACTTCCTAAACACCATTTAAAAGTATTGCTGAGCTCTAATGTTAGTGTACCATTTCATTCCAGGAGTAGAGAACACACTTGGGGCACCAAGGTAGTAGGCCTAGTGGGCTTAAGTCAGTTGGAATATTCCACTTCTTTGGCTGTTTAAGAAATGGTCATGTGATCTCAATAGTACCATTAGTGTGAACCTTCAGTTTTTGGTTTGAAATACTGGGACAGATGGATTTTCCCTATGCATGTAAACCAAGAGGCAAGGACCTATCTTTTTTTTTTTCAATCCAGCTAGGAATCCTATCACAGAGATTTTAGGCTTATAACGTCAACAAGAAAGGAGAATGACATTTTAAATGCATTATTAAACAATAATTAAATGGTTTCTTGCTAATTACTGAATCCCAGGACTAACAATCCAAATCATCCCCTAACCTCTGTCTTCTACTTACCTGAACCAATACAGCCCTTTATGGTTTAAAGTCAATTTGAGTTGAATTTTCTGTTACTTGCAGTATAACTGATGAGGAATAAGATTAAATATAAAACCAGATGTAACAATATTATAAAACAGAAAGATGTAAAAAAAATATAAAGTAACAAAGACAAACAAGCCTCTAAAAAATAAAGAGCAAAAAATATAAATATAGAAAAACAAACATCCAGAGATTGTCTTAACAGTTGGCCCTGGCAGAAAAATGGGAAAATTAGCTTCCCAAATATTAAGAATGCAAGAATGGAAGTAGCTCCACTATATATAGGGCCAGTGTGAGAATCCCTACACGACTGCTTTATGTTAGGAAGCAGGCAGACACAGGTAGTCAAAGGAGCTAAGACTTTCATATTTTGAATTTAAGCCTTCATACTGCTAAAATTCTGGGGTATTCTACATAATTGTAGGACCTTCCATTGGCTCCAACAAATCTAATCAGATTCATATATCTATGTCTTCTCTATTGTACTCATCCTGACCCAGGAAACAGTATTCATCCTCATTTAAATATTTATCATCAAGACTAAAACAGCACCAGTTTTGATAGCTTCATGGATCACTGAGCCACTCGTTCCATTTTGCTGTAAGAGAGGTTTGAATCCACCTGGAAGTTTAGGGGGACAAAGAAGAAAACAAAGGAGAGAAGAAAATAATGCCAGGTGACCAACTTGAGAGGACTGAGACTCCTGCAGAGGTAATTAGATCATGGGGTATGATACGAATGTGTATTAATCCTCTGATGTTCACAGCTGACTGTGTAGCTGGAGGACATGGGCCACTGGGGTGTGCTTTTGGAGGGCATCTCTCCCTGAGCTCTTCCTTTGGCCTCTACTTCCTGGCTGCCATGAGGTGAGCAGCTTTGTTCCACAGTACTCTTCTACCATGATGTTTCTGCCTTGGAGCCTACTCAACATGGGCTAAAACCTCTGAGACTGTGAGCTCAGGTAAACTTCACCTCCTTTAAGTTGTAGGTGTCAGGTACTTTGTCCCAGCAATGAGAAAGCTGACTGATTCAAGGAGCTGTAAATTTTGTGCTTTCAAATGCTGACAGGCCCACATCACCTCTGTCCTTTCAAATCAACCTAGATAAAATCTTCAGTTACTCTTTCCACTTTTAACAATTCCAACTCATAGGCAATCTGTCATTTGTTCCTACTCATTCTGGGTTAAAAATATGTCTGGAATTCTTCCTTTTAATTTCCAAGGCCAATGTCCAAGGTCAGACGTTTATCTCTTATCTCAACTAATGCAATTGTCCCTTAACCAGTCTTGCTGTGTCTTATCTTTCTGCCTGTCCAATACATCATTCACAGGGCTACGGGATCCTTACATAAAAGAATGACTGTGTTTTATTTATCCTTTGCATCCTTTTCCCTTCCACCAGTCCAGACACTTAGTGGTACCCACTGGTTTTCGAAAAAGTACAAAGAGCTTAGCCGCAACCAGACCATCCAGGTTGTAGATCATGGTCTCCTTCAGCACAGGATCCTGCCGTGTGCCTCCTGTAGGCTATTCGTATAGAAAAATGGAATCTACTAGAACAGTCTTTGGAATGCCATACCTTCCTTCTATACAATCACCTTTCTTTTGGCTCTACTTAAGAAACACCTACTAGTTTTTCAAGGTTCAACTGAAACGTTTTCTCCACCATAAAATCTTTTTAAATACTAAATCCACATTACATTTCTTCAACTGTGCAGAGACCTTTCTTTATTCTTCTCTTTTGCTATTTGTTTTGCTGTCTCATCTTATACTAAATTTGGTGTTTAAACTTCTTTCTTAGTAGTGAGAAAAGTGTATCATATTTCAGTATGAGGTTGTCTTTATCCTCTGTTATTTCTCCCCAAGACTCATTCTTGTGTACTCTGTATTTAGCAAAGCAAACAGCCTCAATACATGCTCTGCAAATATTTCTTGAATAAATAAATAACTTCCCCAGAGACTGAATGTTATTTGAGGATAGGAATTGCACCATATTCATATATATTTCTCAGTGGCTAAAAAAAAACCCCAAGTAACAGAAACTGCTACAGCTTGAATAAAATATTAGGTTTAGACTCTGGCCTCCTGTGTTACTGAATCTGGCTAAACCTAGAACAATTTGTCACTTTTTCATTCCAAAAATATTTATTGAGTACCTTGTATATGCCAAACTTTGTTTCAGGAGCTGGAGACAGAATTTTAAATAAGATAAACCACACATATGGTTCAGTGGCAGAAAGAGCTATTCAAGCTAATAAATCAATCATTCTCAAAAGTTCTTTGACACCTAAAGTGTATTCTCAAACAAGCTTATAACCAGACAGTCATCAGTGGCTTCTCCCTGTACCTTGCTTCGAAGGTTAGGTAACAAAATGTAAAATTACTACCACTGGATGAGGAGGAGGATTGTATTTTCCTCCTCCTGTTAATTTAATTTTAGTGCTATCTCCCCAAAGCCCCCATTATGCTACTTTTGGGAACAACTGAAATTGCTCACTATTTTTTCATTTTCATGTTTTTCATCTGTAACGTAACCTCTCAGAACTAACAGAATGCTTATAGCTATGTTCAAAGTCAGTGGCTCTGTATTGTAGAAACTGGGGAACCACTGTTCAGACATTTTGGCTTCATATTCAAGGACTCTTTCCAAATGTATTTTCAATGCCTTTGCAGAATCATTTGCGTTGTTCTTTCTATAATCTAGATTACCACCAAACTAGCTTTTGATTCTGTATCTTTGGACCTGTCTCTTGCTATTTTTTCATTCATTTTATTCAAATTCTACCTGTATCTCAGCTGAATTCAAGAATCTCCAATTTGTCTCAAATGGTCCCTTTGCATATTGAAGTGCAATTTATGTTGTGTCTTTCCCTCTAAGCTTACCTGTTTCTACTTCATATTTTATTTATAAGAAGTATATATCCAAATAGAGTATATATAATCATTCATTCCATCAATATTTTACTAAGAATTTACTGCCTTTCTATTATCCTAAGCCACCTAACATATTAGTACAGTAAATGTTAAGTAAATTCTTATTGAATGAAGGCAAACTCCTAGTCAAATTATAATCATCTGAATTCAAAATAATCTTTTTCTAAATATTAACAATAATCACCAATAATGAGATGTATAGAAATTGCAACAAATTCTTCTTTATCATATTTATGAAAAGACATGGGTAAATGTGTAGAAAACAATTACCAAATAATAAGAAAACTCAAAGTAATGTGGAAATATTGATTCAATCTTGCCCATTTTAATTCATAGATGCACACATCTTTTGAAAATACAAATTCATAAATATATATATATGTTAGTTAAGCTTATCAATTAGAAACAATATAGTGTTGGAATGTGCTGAAATAAGAATCACAGAAAAAGGATTCCAACATACTACTCAGTAATTCTGTGAAATTTCATAAAAGTTTATGTGGTAATTTTTTTCCTTTTCTTTCCTAAGGAAACAGCTTTAGAAGATGATTGATGCCTGCTATTATGAGTCTATATTTGTATTTCCTTATTTTAGAAGCTTTTCAAAAATACATTTAAAGCATTTCCAGTTATACTAAAAGGAAAGATCAAAGGTGATTATTTATAGGCAATCATATTCATGATGATAGACTCTCAGAAAGCAAATGCAAACATAAATTTTAAATGCCTTTTGGAAAGAGTTGAGAATAAAAACATTTACATAATTTCTTAGAAACTCTAGCTTTTTATTACTGAATTCCAATATTCCCTCCAGGCAAAGGTGCAGCTACTTCAAAGATTTATTTGATAGTGGAAGGTTTGATTTCTTTGTTTTCCCTTTCCAGTGTGGGTAGGTCTATAGTTTTCATTTTACCACAGTGTACTTGGTTTTAAAATTTGAATTGGATAGCAAAAGACAATTGTTTTAAGAAAATGGTTCTATTTGGCAGATTAAACAAGCCAATGACAGCAATAAATACATAGACATACATTATACAAAAGTGCTACATTGTTACAAAACAATCTTTTCTGATATCAGTCATCTTTGATTAAGGACCTGCCACTTTATAATATAACTACTAACATTCAATGTGTAAGACTTCTACTTACCTGCCTATCCACTTCTGGGAGCAAAAGAAGGAGGTATTGTTGGAAATGCTGAGGTAAGGAAGCAAACGTATGTTTATTTATTAATGCCCTCAAGTTAGTGTTGACAAGAATAGATCCTGGGGTTTCTATGTCAATGTCCTCAGCTTTGGTCCATTTCAAGTGTCCTGTGATGAACAAGAAAGAGGTACAAGTTTACTACAGATTGAGGAAAGTACAAATGCACACATGAATATGCACAACATGAATTCATATATTCAAAAATGTGCTTAACTCTATCTCTTGTAAAAATATTTCAGAAGAGAAATCTATAAAGCTCCTTATGTTTGTAACTGGCCTCACTTATTTTCAATTTCCATAAGATATATTTCTCTCAATATCATCTAATTTTGTAACTCAAAGTAAAACCATGTCCCAATATAGAAGCATTTTAATGAGGAAATTTTAATTAATCAGAATTTTCAAAAACTTTGAAAGCATATACATCAACAACTACAATTCATATAAGTTCTGTAAGACTTATGATCATTGATAAATACAACGACAGGGCTGTCAATTTTACTTTCATTTCTATTTTTGAAGTGCTGGGGATCAAAACAAGGGCCTTGTTGCAAGACAAGCACTCTACCACTTCTACAAATCCAGGCTAGTGTGGTCACTTGTAATGAACACAATGATAGCTATAGTAGCTATGTCTTTGCCATGTTCCAGGCAGTGCACTGAACAGTGCATTATTTCAGAATATTCCTAGTCAGGATAATTCTGAGGGTGGTAATCTAAAAGTCCAATCTAGATATAAATGTGTTACAAAGTCTGAAATGTAAATATGCTTTGAAGAATCATTACACAAGTCAAGGCACATTGGCATCCAACAAAAGGCTTTAATAGAGTTCACAACTCAAAATTATGACCAACAAGAAAACAATCTACCATAAGAGAAGTCAACTGGTAGATTGAAAAGAATTACTATTCTCAGTTACTTGAGCTAAGAGAACTATTTGACTGTAATTATAAAGAGTATGTTTTAAATCAGAGGTCAGCAAATTATAGCTCATGAATTCTCTAATCCGATGATTGTTTTAGTAAATAAAATGTTGCTGGGACACCATAAAGCCTGGTTTGTTTACATACCATCTAGGTTTGCTTTTGCAGAACAATGCAGAATTGCACAGTTGTAAGAGAAATCTAATGGCTGGCAGAACCTACTATATTTACTCACTGGCCCTTCACAGAAAAAAATCTGTTGACCTTTGTTTCAAATAATTAAACATGAAGGAATACAAAAATAAGAAAAAACCAAGACATTGTGATAAATGAATAGTCAGATTTTAAACAGAACCAGACAGAAGGTGGATACAGCAGAAGAAAGAATTACTGAGTAATTATGCTACAGAGACAGAATAAGACAAAAATACAGAGAATGGAATAAATAGTCAGGGTGCATATCTATATTCAGAATGAAAAGATGAAGAGGGGCAATATTTGAATAGTTAATGGCTTAAATATTTTAATGTAAGTGTTCTCAGATGAAATACACCAATTCTCAAGAAAGACAAATATTAATTCCTCTATCGATGCACTGCAATCTCCAAAAGCAAAAAGAGGCTACTTTAAAGTCATTTTATTTTGAACAAAACATAAATTATCTCCATTGGGATGGCAATGACATGGACAGAAAATATCAATAAGTAACAGATGAGAGAGGCATATCTCCAAAGAGCCAAAAGAAAATAAATGGCAATTCGGAATTTCATTTGTAACTACATCTCTCAAAAAGGGCAATGACATGAGAATATTTTCAGTATCCAAAATTGAAATTATATTCCTTAGAGAATCTTGCTGAAATAAGCACAAGTAGGTGTTCTTAGTAAATCAGTTCTATCAAAGAAGAAATGACAGGGTCACAGAAGAAATGGTAAACTGAAAGACTAATAGATATAAATTGCTCTAAACAAACATTAACTGTAAAAATAATATTATGACTGATGGCAGTTAAAGTGGAAATAAAATACTTAACAATAATTACATGCAAAATGGGATAATGTGATTGAAATGGAATAATTAAGGACCCTGTCATGGAGAATAAGAAACGTATGGATTAATTTTTTATTTTGTTAAAATTTTATATGTAGTCTTGGAAGAACAGAAAAAGAATTATGATTTTCACATAAATAAATGGAAGAAAAAATGTAATGAACCCACTGGGAAGCATAAAGGAGAAAAATAAAATAAATTTAAGTCTCATGGGAAAGATGGAAATTAGAATATAAACAAAAAATTCTAGATATGTAAAACAAAAAAGAAAAATAACACAATATTAATATCATACAAGATAAACAAATGTAAAAACATTATTGGCAATAATAAGTATTCCTTAAATGTGTAAGGAATAATTCACTAGAATATATAATGGCTTTGAACCTGTATTCTTTTAAATACTATTTAAATGTAACAGAGAAATAAAAACAAATAATTGACATCACAATTCTACATGAGGTCTCCACATATATTATACAAAACTGATAGATATAAAATTATCTTAAGAATGCAGAGGATTTTAGCAGCTCAATAATCACTCTTGAACCAATGAATTTCATATAGGGCACTGTAGTGGGCCATTAAAAAAAGCAACTTTTTTCCAGCAGTCAAGGAACAGAAAAGAAAAATAAATCACTGCTGAAATCACTGCTAATGAGTCTCAACAAACACAGAATAATTACAAAACCTCCTATCTCTGTCCAAAGAGAAACAGGTATCAAAATACAAAGACAGAGACTTGTAACCACCTTCCTGCCACATATAATATATATGCGAACATTCAAAAGCATATTTTAATTTGCAAATTAGAGGAAGTATATTTTTGTTTGTCCTGGTGTTTTTGTTTTTGTTTTGATTTTTTGAGAAAGGTTCTCACTATATGGTTCAGACTGGCCTTGAACTCTCGACAATCCTCCTGCCTCAGTCTCCAGAGTGCTGGGATTATAGGCGGGAGCCACCAGGCCCACTGAAAGTATGTTTTTAAAGGAAATTTAAATTATAATGCCAACATTTGCAAAATACTTCTCAAATAGTTTTAAAGATAAATTGTAAATATTGTAGAAAAAAATTAAAAATTTAGGGGTTAAGTGGTCAAATCATAAAGTTAAAAAAAATCAAATAAAACCTTAAGAAGAAAGGAAAATTTATAAGAGTAGAAATTCATGAAATAGAAAGAACAATGAAGATCATGAATAATAAAAATGTTTTATGTTTGTTTGCTTTGTTTTATTTGAAACAGGGCCTTGCTAAGTACATCTTGTTCAGGGTGGGCTTTTGCCTCAACCTCCCAGAGTGCTGGGATACAAGTATATGCTACCACAAAGGCTGTTTTTGTTGTTAATTAAACTAATAGATTTATCTAATAAAATAAATATATCTATAGATATATCTGTATCTATTGCTGGGATACAAGTATATGCTACCGCAAAGGTTGTTTTTGTTGTTAATTAAACTAATAAAATAGATTTATCTGTTGACATAAAAGTGACTTGGAATGAAAAGCAGAGACATGTTACTGGATATAGTACACATGTAAGAAATGGATATAATTAAAAACAGATTTTAAAGTGATATATATATAATACTGTGACTTTTGCCAGTATCTTTGAGGACAGATAAACTAGTTTCAGTTTATAAATTTTAAAATTTAACTTTAAAATAGAAAACCTGGATAAGTTCGTAAAAACTTTAAAGACTGATCAGTAGGCAATGCCCACCTCATATACACAAAGCACAAATTATAAATAGCTCAAGATAAATTAATGTGTGCTGAGGAACTTTATCTGTTCTCTGGAACTCTCCCACTATTATATTTTATACAGATTCCAGAGAAGAAGTAAAAAAGCTCCTCAATCTACTTTTTAAAGTTACTATAATCTTTATTCCCAAACAAGGATAAGAACAGTATGAGTAAAAAATTAACAGTGAATCTCATTTATAAACACAAAAAGCACAGAAATTATATTTACTTTAAAAAATATAACACTTTTGAGTTGAGGTATCAAGTATATCAACATCCATTACATTAGTATCTGTCTTTTTCATACATTTGAAGTATTTCACAATAATGAAAAACTTAAGCCATGGGGAGAGCAGAATTACAAAGACATTTGTTTTGTTTTCTTCTCAACAGAGGCAGCGGAAACATCTACAGAAATTAGAAAATATATAAATAGCAATTGGCTTAATTTTTATTACATGGCCTAATTATTCTTTTATAAAGGTGCTGTGGTAATTCATTGAGAGAAGCTCTCATTGGATGGGAGTATTGTGAAATTGAAGATAAATGTAAAACTTCTGAAATATATGCTATGAAAAGCAATCTGAGAAGTAGGCTGTTGCTATAACCATTTGGTACAGTTCAAATCTTTAAGCCTATCAAAGAAAAAAAGTGTCAGAGAGATACACAGTCTTATGACTGGGCCAAAAGATCTATTTCAAAGATGTCCATCTAAGCAAAAATATGTTTTATAATTTTGGAACAAAGAGAAGATGCTCTAAATTTGTTGCCACAGAGAATGTTTAATTCAATTTTAATTATCCTTATACTTGTACTCTTAATTGGCTAAAGAACAATCCAATTATATATGATCATCTTATCTCATTAAAGCTAGTAGTTCACATCCCCCTACACTTTCCTTTCAGAGAAGGAAAAAGACATTGTCATATATAGTGTCTAATTCCCAGACACTTAGCCTAGAGCAATGATGGCAAACCTTTTAGAGCTTTCAATGATTCAAACAGCCCGCTGTGGCACGCATGCTTTAGCTTTGCCACCACTGGCTGAGAGGATCTGAAGCAGGTGAGGTAAGGCAAAGGAGACAGGGGAAGCAACAACTGCTGAATGGCCAGATGAACTGCCCTCTATGCTACGTAAGAGGACTGATGTCATGATAAAAATAGTGCGAATGTCTTACCAAGATCAGCAATTTTCTGTCATTTTGGCCCAAGGAGTTTTAATATCACCAAGTTAGTAAAGGCTTCAGATTCCTGAGCACCTCTTGATCACAGGTAGGCTAATGGCTCTGAAGCTCATGTTTCCAGAAGAAAAAAGCAAAAGAATTATGCATAAGATGTACACACAGAGATCCAGACACGCATGAAGAAAAGAAGCATGTATGTGAGGCAG